TTTTTTTTTTTTTTTTTTAATGAGGGTTTTGCTTCCCACAGTGACTATGTTCAAGCCAGCCCTTTGGTTTTATGTCCTCATGTATTTTTAAATAACAAATGCATGCCATTATGGTTTGGGAGAGAGCCCTGCGTTGAAAACAGTTGGTGTAGGTGGCCAAGATCCTCCCAGCTCCTCCTCCTTCCAGTTCCTGGACCCTCCCATCCATCCTTGCCCATTTTAAATGATGGATTATGAAGGTTATGAAACCCTCCCACACAGGCCCAGCACTGGAGCTCCCCAAGACAGGGCCTAGGCCAGCCCAGGAGCAGGAAAGGTGCTCAGGTAGTGAGGACAGCTCCAGGCTACTGTGCTACCCTCACAGCTGTTGCAAAACAGTCACTGCCTACGATGCCTCCCCGGGCTGCCCCAGATCCTTCCCCACCACCAGCCACAGGTCACAGATCCCACTGGTGTAGAGGAACTAGCTGGTTCCCATTTGAACCAGGAAACCTCACACTCAGCGGGGCTGAAGCTGCCAGGGCCTCATACAGGGTATGGAGAACAGGTGCCCCAACATTTGCTTGGGTGAAGAAAGAGGTTGTTTTGTTTGAGTTTCTTGACTGTTCTTCCCAAACAGGCTCACCTGTCTGGCTGTGCTACTTAAAAAACAGCGTCCTGCCCTCCTCATCTACTCCCAGCCCAAACTGAAAGATGGCAGTGGACCTAGAGGGCCCTGATAATGCCACGAATAAGGGCTGGGAGTCCTGGATACCTGGGCTGAGGTCCTGGCTCTACCAAACACTGCTTCATTTGGAGCAAGCCCCTCCACTTCCTGAACCTCAACTTCTAACATGACCCAAAGGCCTCAGGGTGATGGTGAGGCCCAGTACAAACGTCCATTGGGACCTAGTCTCGGAGGAGCAGAGGGAGGCAAAGGGAGGCCCTATGGGCCACCAGGCACCTTTCTGCAGGGCCCTCATGACATCCTGAAAACCACAGTAATATTACAGCAAATGGCATCTTTAGAAACTGCCAGTCCAACTGCCTCATCCCAAGAGAGGAAAAGGACCAGGGCTGACCAAGGCCGTGCCTAGAACCTGTGATTCCAGTCTCACAAGCTAAAAGACAGCTGGCGCCAAACCAGCCTGCCATACAGCAGGAGGAGGAAGTGGGGTCCTTGTGGAGGCAAGGAGAGCAGCAGCAAGAGCACAGCAGATGAAAGCCAGCGAGGAGAAACACTTTGTAGGGCCATGTAATGCGGGGGCAAAGCGTCCACAGGCTTAACCACAGCACTGAGCTATGACAGACAGCTGGTCTTAACCACCACCCCAAGTCATTAAAATGTTAAGCCAGGTGTCACACCCTCTATTAAAGAAGACAAGGGTGTGGATGACACGTTTTGGAAAGTCTTCCATCCGACATCATTAAAACACCAGTTTGGGTGCTTAAGGGATAAACTTCAGCTACTAGGAAATCTACCTGCACCCGGCAGCTCAGTCACAGATGACACACTTCCTTGAAGTAGTACTGCCTATTCCCAGGGGGCACAAGAGACTCACTCAGACAATGTTTTACCCAGATTGAGCAAGAAGTCATTTAAAACCACACGCTTTCCAAAAGCAAAACCAAACACACATGGGTTCCCCAAAATTTCTTGATTTCACTTGCTCAAATGCTATTTCCCATGCCTACCAGTAAAGGGAACTGGTTCTTGGG